AGCGCGCTGCTATCTTGTTCCTTTTCATTACAATGGAAATTATTGTTATATCATTGTTTGTGAAGAACTAAGTTTTGAATCTCAATAAAAATATATGTTCTCAGGTATTATCTATATTATCTCGAATAAAAAAAAAACTTGTGCGTGATAAAAAAAAATGTTAATAATAGAGCTTCTGTCCAAAAAGTTTATCCCAACTTGATTTGGTTTTGGTTTGAAGGGTGAAGGTAAGGTGATGGCGATTAGATATATAGAAAAGCGTAGGGGGCGGACCCAGACCTCTCCGTCTTTTGAACCTTTATCTCCACGAACCTTATCCTCTCTTCAATTGTTGCCCTGGAAAGGCTCTCCCTGTCCCTCGCTCAATACCTTGTAAACATTCCCCTCCAAAATCCAAACAAATCAAAACCAATCTTATACTGTTTTCTCAATTAAAGCTCTTCTATACTACTTTTCATTTTAAACACAAATTATGTAAGAGCGTGCTCAAGGCTTCTTCTATAAGATTGACTTACATGGGATTGATTTAATCAACAAAAAAAAAATATAACTCTAGTTCTTATTTCCGAATTAATCAAGCGAACAAACTTCTCATCCCGTTTAAACATCCCTAATTCCATGTGTTATTTTATTCGACTTTTCTCGATGACATTTAATTTTTAAAATTATTCTAGATGTGCTATATGTGCCTTGCGTCTCAGAAATACATCTTTCAATGTGAGAAAGGGTTAAAAGTTAAGTTGGAATCGGTGTTAATTGACGATATAGGAATTAATTTTATTAATTAATTACCATGCTCTAATTATTAGTTAATTCAGAGCGGTTTTCTTTTTCTAACGCAGGATGATCAATTATTTCTTTTTTTGATGCTGAAAAGTTGAGGTGGGTTGGGTTTCAGGATTTATTATTGCCCAAACATGCCTCAAGGTCCAAAAAATACTTATAGAGATACTTACAGATCATTTATCAATAAAGTTTTTAAATTGCCAATAAAATTTGATCCCACGACCTTATAAATTATGAGTCAAATTTTTATCAACTAAAATAACTTTGGTTGTTACTAACCAATTATTTCTTTTTAATCCAAAATCCAACAAAAAACAAGGATTAATATTAATGGATTTAAAATTATAAATATTCCTCTTGGTTTGATTTATACCATATGTTATTAATAATAATATAAGTGACTAATGTTTTTTTATATTATATTGCACATTAAGTTGTCAATGCCATAAGGCCGGTTTGAATTTTAGTTGAATATAATTGATAATAAAAAATTAATTAATATAATTAATTTTGATTATAATTGGTTAGAACATGATCATGTTTGGATATTGTTTTCTTAAACTGATGATGACATAATTGAATTGTTTAGATAATTTAATTAGAATTAATTTTAGATGTATAAATTGTCATAAAGGATATTGCTGTTGAAATTAAAATTAAAATATTGATCAAGTTGTATATAATATTATTAAATTTATCCACCTTTATTTAACAAGTAAAGTATATTATTTAACTTATATATTTGATTAATTATATAAATTTAAATTTAAATTATATTAATATTAATAATTTAATGTATGTGAAAAATAAATCAGTATAGCTAAGTTCAAATAAATTTAATAAAGGAGAGAGATATAATTCTTAAATAACAAACATGAGTTTTACAATAGTTAAAGAGTTGGCTGATAATATAAAAATTGATATTTAATAACGTCGTGAAGACCAGCAATGCCTGATGAAGATGTTATAGATGATGGTAATTAAAGTCTTCTTCATGCTTTATTTGATTTTTTTTTTCATGATGCATAAAATCAGGATCAGATTGTCTTCTAATGAAAGTATGTATATCACTATTGTTGCAACAATTATTTGAACTTGTATATCGTAGTCGTAGCTAGGGATATTATGTAAAATTACAAACTTATTCTTCTGAGTTTTAAATGTTCTTTCTATTGTGCACTATAACATCCTAGAAAATTAACTCTAATTAGCCATGTTAAATGTGGTTAAATAAGTAATTAACCTGGTACATGGTTATAAAGAGCTAATGATTATTTTAGGTTATGGTTTCAACCTTATAATTAAGTCTAGAGTGAAGTTGGGACGCTCAAACTTTAAAGAGAGAGAAAAACAAGGAGAAGCGGTTGTGCCACCTGCAATGTGTGTATGGGATGTCCATGAGTCACGAAAATACAAAGAAGAGTCATTTGTACCACATGCCTCAATGTATGTGGTAGGCATTGTGGTTTATGGTGTAAAATCTCCCTATAGGATCCCAAGGTCTTAATATTTAAAACATTTTGCGAAGGCTTGGGAATCGAGAAATAATTAAAATATTTGCATAAAAACTCTAAACAGTGAATTGTGCAAAAAACTGCACGTGCATCGTGGCTCAACACTCCTGTGCTGCGGCGTGCATGTCTTTGTGTCATGTGTCACGGTGCATTGCATGATTTTGACAGCAAATTTTGCTATCAAATGACAGCATTTGGGACAAACTTTCAACGTGTCACAAGTTTCATTTCTTTATCTAATGTCTGATTGAGATTATTTAGGTGTCTACAAAGAGCTTTCTCCTAACTTTAGCTAATGGCATAAGTTTCACAATCAAATTATTTTTCTATCAAAAGTTAGACACCTAATATCAATCTCACTCTTTTTTCACAAAAACTCACAACTCGGGTGTCCAAACTCTAACCAATGCGTCAAAAGCCTATATCAACTCTTAGATTACACCCAATAGACCATTTAAGACTCGTGCCATCACAACCAAATCAACACGCATATATAATAAATTCACCCTTCAACTCCTCAATTCTCAAAACATAAGGGGGAGGTATCTTTACATTAAATCATTAATATTCATTCAAAATAATCAAAATATACTTTATTCTATTTGCACTAGTATTTCAGTCGTATGTAGATTTTACAACCACAAGACAATAACTCAAGGCATGAAATACATAGAGTATTTTCATTTATAATGCAAGTAGTTCAAAAAAATGGTATGGAATTTTAGTTGGAAAATTAACCATCAAATTAACCTTTATTAGGATTTACACATGATCCTAAGCCTCAGGTCATTTTTCCTAAATCACACACAATCCTACGGCTAGGAAGATGAGGGAATATAAGTTTTACACCTATTAGATCTATCTTCTTCTTCTTCTTTTGAACAAATCATAGATTTTAAGCTAATAAATATTTGTTGAATCAATAAGAGCACATTAGAAACTAATATCCCTTGTAAATATGTACCTAAGAATCTCAGCCTAGCTTGCCATAATCTTAATTTTTCTTTTTCTTTTTTTCCTAGTTTTTTTGGCCAACAAAGGTGCTACTCTTCCATAAAATCAAAATAGAGTCTCAAGCAAAATACAAACTACAAAGAAAGCTAGAAGAAAATGAAATGAGAAGCAATAGAAAGTGTTGCTCGACCATAGAGGCACTGTATCAAAATAAAACACACCAAATTTATGAGAGACCTAAATAACATGAAAGACAGTGGATCAATGCATGCTAGAGGAGAAGGAGACAAACAACATGTTGGAGGAAGAGCAGATTGAAGATAGGGCAAGTAGATTGGGGCAACATGGACCTTGTTTGATGGTGGTCGGAGGTTGCAACCAGTGGCCATGGATAGGAGACGATGGATGATGACTAGGTTGAGGGTGGGAGGAGGATGACATATGAGAAGAAAGAGCACACAAGAGAGGAGAGATTGACTAGAAGATGAGAATATATGTACTTCAAATCATGTGTAATTGTTCTAACGGTGAAATTGAATTAGATAAGCTACTTGTGGCACCTTATTCTAGAATGTGGTTTATGCCTAAATAATCGATTATGAACAATAATCGTTTGGGTGTTTTTCACCCAAACCATAGTTTTTCCCAAAATAATTGATTACTTTTGAAATCCCACATAGAATTCAAAATAACATAGCCCACAAGATATTTTATTGCTAAAATAAAATATTTTTCTCTGATATGTTATTTATTCATTTCTAAATATAGATTATATATCCTATTTTTAAGTTTATGTGATTGACATATGTATGCATGCATATGCGCCTGCCCTGTGCAATGGATCTATGAAAACAATAAAACTCCAATTTAGGAAGACAGGTAATTATTAAAATAAAATGACAAATCAAATCTCACTGAAAATCAAAAGCTTGTGAGATCAATATCTCTTTTTAGTATGTTTATTGGCGCACTAATGTCACAATATTGTAAACATTTTGCCTTTCATTTGCTATCATAAAAATTCCTTTTTAAGACGCTTCATGAATACATGATTGGCCAAGTTTCAAATGTCACTCAGTGACATATCATGACATCGCAGTGCAAATAATTAAAGTCCGTACGTCTCTATTTTGAAAGTGTCAAAGTCTGAGTGCATGAGCATAAGGCTTCACACATCACTGCTGCGTTGTGTGCAGGTTTGGACGAAAGTTCTGCGCATTAAAATATTAAATATTAATTAATTAATTAAACACGTATATCAGGTAATTATAACATGTTCAGGAAACTGCGCAGCTCAATTAATTAATGTATAAACAAATTCTATGTAATGTAAATAAACAAGTCTTTCCGCAATACACAATGTACAATGTTATATAACATTAATTCTTGGATTACTAATCGTGGCGATTCTTAAGCCTTAAACACCGTTCTCGAGCTGCTTACTAAATACATTACACAAAGCCAAGATCAAGCTACACACACACACACACATGCAAGTGTTCATGCATCACTCTGCAAAACGGCAAAAACCCAACGACATTTTTTAAAAAAAAATGGGAAGCGCCTCTGATGATATCCCACCATATTTGATATCACAGACAAAAGAAAGGAGGATAAATAAAAGGAAATTGACGCTAATTTTTCCACAAAAAAGGTAGATGGCATGCCTTTAAAATAAACCACAAGTCAAGGGGTAAACTGGTAATCCAGTTTATTTATATGTAGAGCTCCAGCTCACACCCCGACACGCACACAAGAGAGAGATTATTTCAACACTGATCTAAAGTGATCGATCAACCGAAGATGTTTAGCCCATCCCATCTCAAAACTCTGCACCCTCTTCAAGCTTCTTCTGTAAAATCATCATCTTCAAGCTTAAGCTCCATGAAGCTGAAAAGCCTCATCCACACCCTCATAGTCTCGCGCATGTGCCGAATCATTCGTGCACTGTCCAAAGTCAAAACCATTATCGTCGAGATTCTCGGAGACAACCAGTCCAGCCACTTCCATTCCTGTCACAAAAAGCATTACACCATGAACAAGAAGATCATCTTGGGATCCTTTAGGCTTCATTACAATTGGTGTTCTTCGAAATCTTCCCATGTCTTGCCGGTCCCCGCGCATGTTTACCAAGAGTTGCCTTCATCGGCAGCCACAAACTCTTACTATGATGCCACCTGGAATGTTCCTTGCGAGCAGCACCAATTACAAGGCGAGGAATGTCCTGAGGCGCAGCTCGCAGGTTACCTTCAGTGGCTGGAGGATAAGGGTTCTTCGGAAGAAGAGAAACAGGAGATTAACGAGATTGACGTGCTGGCCGAAATGTTTATTGCGAATTGCCATGAGAAGTTTAAGCTGGAAAAGCAGGAGTCTGATAGGAGGTTTCACGAAATGTTGGCCAGGAGCGTGTAAAATAACAAGGAAACTCAATTACGGTAATGTTTGCGAGGGCTTTTGAATTACCGTCATATTTTATTTTCATCTTTCTTTGTTGTAACCTTTCAAAAAGAAAGAATCGACATGGGAGCTGAATTGGAATTCATGTGGGATTCTTCTTTTGACTTATAGGCATTTCCATGATGGTTTTCTAACTAGCGGGCTTTATATTAAAGTGTGATCGATCACAAGTTTCAATGTTTCAACTTTCAATTTCTCTCCTCACCAGATCTTCTCTATAACTACTTGCCACTTATTTGTATATAGGCGGTGAATTATAATGTGTTGTGGATAATCTCAAACAAGAGAAAAAAGGAAAATACTTTGATTATATGTATTGCCTTCGATCGAACTAACCTAACAGCAATAGCTTGCGTTTATGGACAATATATAATTTAGTTCAATGCCACACCACTTTAAACGGCGCCATCATGGTCTCCGGGACACCATGATTAGTAAATTGAACGATAAATATAATTTGGTGCCACTGTCCTTGTTTGCTAGCGCTTGTGTGACTTGTGGCATGTGCATTATTAATTGAATGTGTGTTTCGCTTTTTTAGTAATAATTAATATTTGGTTTATAACCTCATGTGGCTTCCGCCACTGTATCTCTTGCTATTTGCTTGCAAAATCTTCAGTAGTACATATGTCCATCTATATATAGGCCATACGATTCTGCAGAACTCTCGTAAGTTTGGTCTGATTTTATAGTCTTCAATTTTATTCGACCGTCTATTACTTAACTCACCTACCCCGACCCACCTTAAGTTTTTCTGTTTGACTTTTGGTACAAAATTATTGTTACTTGTTTACGTACGTTATCTGGTTTCATACACATTGAGTATAATTAAATTGGTATATATATATATATATATTCATAGCTTTAACTTAGCCTCGTTAGATAAAGTTCGCCCGAAAAGAGTAAAAGAAGAATAAATTATTAAGATAGCTTAGGTAGCTAAAATGCTTTCTATAACGCTCTTTGTGGAAGATTCACCAACAGAAAGGACTATTTATTGTATTGGGCTCTTCAACAAAATCTTAATCTCGACACTGACTCAGATAATGATAATATCAAATTCCGGGTCGTCCCCCGTTAGATAGGCAATTACATGCATGGATCAAACCACGCACTCTCAAGCAAATCGCACTATAGGATAGGACAGCTAGACAAGGCTTTGATTTTGGAGGTGGCAGATAGATTATAAAGTGAAGGATCCAATATTTATATTTTCTTTCTTGCAAAACCCAAAATCCCAGACATGGGTAAACTAAAAATCTAAGAATCAATCTCGTCGTTAGCCCTGGGTACATGCTTATATAAATGTTTTTCCAATGTGCATATGTCCTCGTTTAATTTGTTGGCATAGAGAATAGAGAGGATTGTGAAGCTTGTCCTAAGAAAAGAAGTACAAAAGCCGGCTCAAATGATTAATATTCGTTGCATATGAGTTACAGGGTCTCATCATCAAATTAAAATCATCTTTTGTCATTTTCATCAACTTTCAGTTCTCTTTGTCACTGTATAGTTTGTGAAAAATGTGGCAGATCATCACTTGCTAACAAAAATTACCATTGAGCACATGTGGATGAGCAAAGCATAGAGTCGCTGATGTCGTATACGTTGATGCAGTAATGTAAATGAAAGCAAAAAGGTTTATAGATGTTTCCAAATTCGGACATCGATTAGTTTAAAATGACTATATAGCAGATCAGGGCAAGAGTAAACATTTGCTGCCTTTTCACGGTAAACCTAAACCAGTGATCCAAATAGATTTTTTTTTTTTTTTTTGCTTCCATATACCAGCTGTCCAACTTGCTTCTAATAGTTTTAGTAATGGGTTCTCGATAACCAAGCTGAATTTGTTTTTGTCTAGTAAAATAAGGGGGGAAAGTTCTTCCGATCCTTTTCTTTTATCCTAGAGTAGTGTGTCTCCGGGATTTGAGATTAATAAACCTAATTTCTAATAATTACTAATTCTAAAACTACGAGAGGACTAGGAGTCTAGGATAATCATTGGTCAATGATAGGCGTTCTGGAATAATTAATGTCTTTGGATCTTGCGGGACGCTGCAAGGATCTTTCTTATTAAAGAAATGGAAATGAGTGTGGAACTAGACAAAAGAAGGGACAAGTACCTGTCTGGTTCAGCCATGTAGTGGTACCTCACACTGTCTTTATACGAGACCCAGCATTATTGATGCAACTCACTAGCGTATTATAGATATTGGACAATATCAATGGTAAAGCCTGTAATTAGTTTTCATGTTTCAAAGAGTAACGGTTCGTATATTTCTGATCTCTGTGAATGTTGAGACCAGTCAAGTATGCTTTTTACTGTAGAGGGGATCATAGTACAGTGAAAGAAGGCATCAATATTGATGCCTCTTTTTGGGTATTGAGAGGGTTTTGTTTTCCCTTTATTCCAAAACTTCTTTAGCTGCTTTATTTTGAGAGGAAGGAAGCTTTTAGAAGAGAGGTAGAGGGCTAGATTAGGTTCCTTTGGTCTGCCTGTTTCCTGATGAATGGACTGGCTTTAAACATACATGTAAAAGTGAATGATTGAAACCTCTACGGGTTTTTTATTCTTGTGCAGGATATCAAACATGGAGCAGCTGAAGTTTCTTCTGTTTATCACTTCAAACTTGTAAAGGTTACTTGTTGGACCACATGCCACAGGATATATCTACACCTGGTCAGGCTAGACAGTCTTTTCTGGTCACAGTGTCTGGCTCCTAAATGTAAGTTTTGTACACATAACAGGGGCTGCCTAGAATTTTTTTAAAAAGAAATCATAAATATCGGTTAAACTTCAATTTAACTTGAATATAAAAAATTGAGAAAATTTTCTGTGTTGATGTGAATCCGACGATGAATATATGGCCAAATACAGAATGCAGAAGGCAAATCGGATCTGAATACAAAAGCTACTTCATCTCAGTGTGTCAGCAAAAATAGTCTTAATAGAAATAATAAACTTCTAATACATACACGTTCTCTATTTTTTACATTATTCATGTTTGCACGGTGTTTATTTAAAATTTGAAGTATTTTTAATGAGAAGACATGATTTTTAGGATGTGGGTAGTGATTTCTGCATCGAATGAACGAATGGGGAAAAAAACAAATTGGAAGAAATGAATTAAAAATTGGCTGTACAATCTGAACAGCAATGCAGACAGGTTTACAGGGCAGGATTGAAGGGCTTCGTGGGCTTTGCTCGTTTCAATCCCCTCTGAATGGGCCTTAGGACTTGTCCAATTAACCCTGATAAATTAATGAAATTAAAGAACAACTAAATCATACGCGAACTCATATATTCTCTTCGCTCACCGCATAAACGTTCACACTATCAATTACAATATATTCCTCTATTGTGGAACAGCTTTTCATCTCTGTTCCTTTTGGATATTGATTTCGAATCACATGATTTCATTGTAACTTTGATATCTTCCACTTGCCACTTGCAGATCCTTGGATTTCACTGTAAATTTTTCCTATAATTTTGCATTGTTATAATAGTCCAGAGCATAACCCTCGAATAAGTAGTCAAGTGTTATTTCTAGGAAAAGAGGAAAATGAGTAAGAAAGTAGCGTAGTGTTTCAAATTTCTCAATCCGATCATGCCATGTTACACATAAAGGGGCAGGGGACTGACCCATTGAGGGAGTTTCATCTTTTGTTGGCTGTAAAGCTCGAGTTAATGCATCAAACTCAAAGGCATGTGACTACACCTTTAAACAACCAAACGTGCTTTCCTTCCTTTTCCATCTGTTTCTTTTGACCCACCCTGACCTTCCCCATCATTCAGTGCACTGAATTGTTCTGTGCTTTTTATCAAGTTCATGACCCAGAAACAAAAAATAATAGGTGAATGCTAGCTTCTTCTTTTACTGTAGCTAGCTTGTTATGTTCCTCCCATTACCAACAATACCATTATCAATTGAAAATGGAACAGTGAAGACGACTAGGAAGAGAATACGCGGGAAGACAGAAAGGTTAAGAAACAAACATCAATCCAAGTAAATCAACCAACAAAATTAGATCATTCTATTCTGCCATGATCTTAATCGAAATTCGGCCTCCTCAAGTAAAAAATTCCCAATCATGCTCCATTAATTGTGGAGCTTATATACAATTTCTGCATCATTCTGCCATTACTGATTCTTTAAACAACACTATAGTTAATCAGAACGGGATGAAGAAACTCTCAAGGATCTGGCAATTCCGGTATATTACAAAAGCACCAAGAAAAAACAAGATTAGCTAGATCAGACGAGATTTTTAAAAAATGAAGTATTGCTTGGTGAGATCTCTGGCGAAAACATCCAATTCTACTTGTTCTGGATAGGATTTGGGACGCTTGGTGGTGCTTTTTTCAAACGGGGCTCCAAAGCTTTATTGGGCCGTTTCCTGCTTCTGCTTAATTTACCTATACCTGTTGACATAGAAGCCAGAGATGATGATGATGATAGCAGCTTCCTCGACAGATTTGTGCCTCCCGAAAATCGCTGTTCATGGCGATGAAAACAAAATGAAGGGAACGAAAGAAAGTGAATCAGAATCAAGGCCAACACAAAAGCCAAAACTCTATAGTTGTTAATCTTCATCGCAATGGTTTCAGTAAGAAACAGGCTAAGATCACAGAGAGGGTAGTAAGGCACTATAGCAAGTGATAAAGCTAGGAGTTTTATCAGCAGGTTTTATATGAACAGGCAGGAGCATTCCTTCTCCATGTGGTTTCCCCTTAGTTGTATTAATTGTAAGTCTGGGGTGTGCTTTTCAGCATATATATGCAATTATTACCTCAACTCTCACGTGAAGGTTCCAATCTTGAAACAGTCACACATATCTATATTGTTTAATTACTAGGTTGAAAAACCTGGAACAAGCAGCTGATCATGGGAGGCATAGTTGACTATATTAATGCTGTCTGTGACGGTTAAAATCTTCAAATTAAACCAGCGTGATTGAACATGTGAATCTGAACTAAACGCCTGATAAAACCCCATGTTCGCTGTTATGTAGTCAAATCGCTTTAATCAGTTTAGTCATATTTTAGCCCCTTAATTAAAACTACATTCTCATTAGGAAGTAACCTTCTTAGCCACACCTAATATATTTCTAATTTGTCATCTCCCAGACACCCACCAATTTTTGACAGCCCCAGCGCCAATTACAATAAAAATATGCGAAAACCTTACTCTAGG